GATCGCCAGTGCGGCTCCCCGTAGACCAAAGGGTCCTCCCGATGCTGACGCGAGGTACTAAAATGGAAAAGGCTGGACTCACTGCACAAAATGGTCCCGAAAAACGGGCTGGAATGTTAATTCATGTGGTGTGCTAGTCAAATTCCGAGGTTTGAGTCAAACTCGCGAAGTGCATATCAATTGCAAAGTAAAATAATCATAATAAAGAGATTATGACTTCAAAATTTTGCTGATGGAGTCAAAAAAAGGAAAATACCTCGGAATCCCCGAGACTTTTGGGATTTTTTGCAATGTCTTGCAGAGGGCTGCACAGATGTTTCTAGCAAGGTCAGCTGTGGCCGCCTGGGCCGAGGGATCCGGATCACTGCCAAGTAGGGAGCAAGCCAAGGCCTTGAAGAAAGTTACATCCATTTGGCAGAACAATTGCAGAGAACAGCTACCTGAAAAAGTGGATGACAATACATATAACATTGGCTTTCCTAGCCAGAAAACGCATCTACACAACTTTCATTTTCAGTTGACCCAATTTTGAAAAATAAGGGGCCTCGGTGGGAGTCGAACCAATTCAGCAGGGTAGAGCGCGGCCAACGCTCCACCCTCCTAATAACCTCTATTTTGTCAAATGATAGAGGCAACCTATAAAAAATTAAGTGGGATAAGAACTACACAAAAAAGGATAGGCATATTACTTACATTGTTTCAACCAGTATTCTCCAGGAACAAAAAGTTCACACATTCTTTGACGCGAACATGAATCGCGATACAAGCCAGTCAAGAATTTATACTTCCAAACAAGACAGACCAAGCTCACTGTAAAAACATCACGAGATCTCAGTCGGTAGAGCGGATTGGGAGCATTCTTGATCGCGCACCACACGTTTTCATTGTTATTGACCTTAAACTGATTCCGCCAAGGGATCTGGAGGTGACAACGAGGTGGATTAAAAACCTAGCTTGCTACACACCGTATTCGGACTCTTTTGCTGGGACTACGGACCGCGCACACTAAGCTGTTTACAACAGACAGACGCAGGCGCAAGAGTATTATCTATGACATCATCGAAGCTGGCTGGATGAGTGCAGTCGTATGAGGAAGGAGTGAGTAAGTAAGCTAAATTGGTTACCAATCCTTTGGACACACGAACTAGATGGTTGTAAAAACGGTCACCTCAAAAAACTCCAAAACTTAGCGTAGTGGAAGTACGTTCACTGCTCAGGCTACGGGACATTCGCGCCAAAGTTTCGCCTTGGGCCACAATCTAGAGCCTTCGCAGGCGGTTGTATAGCGACCAGCACGGATGCAGGATAGAACATGCATGCCTGAGGTTAGCTATGGCTGGCTGACGACGGCT